CTGGAAAATTGTTTGTTATGTTGTAAACCAGACTTAATAAATGACTTACAAGAGGCTTCTGTGACGATGATAACGAACAAGCAGATTTCATGAGAAGATGACATTTGAAGAGAATGGTTTTCTGGGTTGTTAAGCCATGCAGTGTGGAGACAGCCCAATGTTTTGAAGGAACATCAGACTCTCTCCGATATACATAAACCAGAAGACTGTACTCTTCAAGGTTATTCCTGTCAGAACCTCACAGCCATCAACAGGAAATTTCTTGTTCGGGTCCACAATTATTAGCTGGTGTAGCAGACCCTGTGCCACAGAGATGATTGGGTGGAGGCAGCTAGTTCTTGCAATACCGAAGAAGTGTTACCTTCTAACTCTCTCGACATCAGGGTCATCAAACTTCACCTTCCCCTTAAATCCGGCAGCGTCTTCTTGGTTGCTGAACACCTGCAAAGTAAGATACAGAGTCATTAATGACTGAGATATTATTCTGTACTTTATTAAACTTGAGTGGAAAGGATTAATTAATGTGGAAGATATAGGGGTAGGGGTCTTTTCCACAGCACTCAGACCACTCCAGGGCCAAGCCAACTCCCTGCAGATAAAGTGACCACATTGTAAAGCTGACCACCCACACAAGGTAGTGGGGTTAGTGAAGAGATGGTCAGTCATTGAGTTCGATAACTGCTGGGGTTCAGTTGTTGTGAGTTACTGCTGTGAGAAGTTGGTAGCTGAGGTCGGGGACAGTTCGGGAACGCAGAGGAAGGGGAAAGTCTGCCGTTGAAAGCCGCTACTAAGCAACAGTTAGTGGATACTAACGGACTGAGAACACTAGTCTGTGATAGTGATTTGCATAGTAATGAGTTGTCTAAGTATGCAATAAATCTGATTACCAATCCAAACACTGTCTATAGTCACTCTGTCACGTGACAATATTTATGGCCATGATTAAATCAGTGGATGGATGGTTGGGCACATGCAATTAAATAGGGTTCCTCATGAACTGAGTTAACTACTTCGAGTAGAGTAACTTCTGAGAACTACAGCTTGTTAAGCTAGTAGAGACATTCCCAGTAACCTACAAAACCCAAAAGTTCAATACCATGCTCACAAGGATCTGCCACTGGTACCTATTCTATGCCATATGAATCCAATCGATATTCCTCCACCTTATTTCTTTCAGTTTTTCCTTTCAAACCAAGTACAGTACTATAAATTTATACGCTACACTGACGGCGTATCAAGTGTGTTACATTAAATTATATCCTTTGTTTTCATGTAATGTGAAGGTGATATCTGTGACCACGATGTTTCATATTTCATTACTGCAATATGAGGCCGGCCGGCAGCGTCGTAACACCTGGGCCAAGCATTCTCCTTGACTTGCCGCGTGCGTGAACTTGGCTTCCTTCAGGCCGCTAGAATTGCTTTGACTGTTGAGCTGCCGGCTCTAGGGATGTAGGTTATATATTTCCGGCATGCCGCCTGCTTCTTGCTTGTCTTACTCTTCGACTCTGGTTATGGAAACGGCACATTCCTCTGAAATGTCGGAATTTTCTTAACTACAAGGCGTTAGAACCCAGAAGAACTGGATGCTTATGATGACCGCGTTACAGTATTTTATTATTATTAGAGGGGGTGGGTTTCCCCATGCACCGCGACTAATAGTCTGTTGTACGTCCCCCTTTGATATTCTACCAGTCGCCATGCCCTTC